ATTGCCTAATAATATAAATCAAAAATATATATGTTTTAAGATCTAATTATTCCCCTGAATGATAATACCCCTTGAATCTAGGGTATATTATAAAAGCCACAAGGACGCGATGGACCTTCAGCTTGTTCTTATGCGTCTTCTTCTTGCCTGTTATCGATAGTCATTGTCTGCCACACACACACACACACATTCACACACACTCGCACACACACACACTACTACACTACACTCGCACACACACACACTACTACACTACACACACACTCGAGTCCCCAAGTTCCTTATTGATGGCGAATATTACGCCAACTAAGCAAATTAAATTGTTTACATTGACAAAGGCCAAAAGGAGAGGGCCAGGACAAATGGTGTGGCAGGACGACAACAAGGACGAGAAGGAGGAGAAGGAGCAGGAGGAGCTGCACGAATTATGGGCTGCAGCCGGGCGTGGCTCATGACGCATAACAACAACAACAACAACAACGAACAGAGAACCAGCCAAGGTAGCCAGTCAGACAACAATGACCAACATTCAGTAGCCCCCATTTTCCGCATGGAAAAGGATGAGGATGAGGATGAGGATGAGGTCCTGGTGCTCCCTCTAGCACACTTTTCTCCTTTGCAAAAGACAAAATAGATGCACACAACTTTTCCTACACGTTTTCAACGGGCGGAGGAGTGGGGCAGCGAAGGGCGAAATACAACGGCCAGGACCAAGGACCCAAGGAATTCTCCAGGCAACCACTCGCCAGGATGGAATTATGCACAGTGGCCACTGCCTAAGGGGGGCGGGGAAAAGGGGTTGCCTACCCTACGTTTTTCCACGGTTCAGTGATTTCCGCAAAATTAAATTTACACACTAACAAGGGAAAAGCCTTCAACAAAACTATTAAAATAAATAAAATCATCATAAAAGAGCTAACTCTTTGTTTAATCATTTTTCAAGCACACAAAGAGGTAAAATTTATAGTTTTAAAAATTAATTTCATTGACTAAAATGCCATGTTTAAATTTACTTATATTCTTATACAAGTTTAGTTTGATTTTACTTGTTTCAAAAATATTTAAAAGCTTCAAAAACAAAGAACAGGCAACCTGTTGTCCTTTCCCAACTAATTTCCACTGTACAAATCCCGCCTGAAAGAGAGCTGCAAATGTTTTATTGCCTGCCAAAAACATAGAGAACCCAGACCTGGGAGAGACGCAGGACCCAGGACGAAGGACGAAGGACTCAGGACGAAAGGATAGGCTTCGTTTTAATCGAGTTGATTATAAGTAGAGTGACAAGTTTCAACAGCATTAAAAACTGAGGCCCCAGGCCCGGCCATGTGTAGTGTCTGGGAAAATGTTTATTTTTGTGTGCGGAAAAACGGGTTACAGGATACAGGGATATAGTATCCTTATACACACACACACACACACACACCGGCTTATGGCGATTTGCGGTTGAGCAAAATGAAACCTTCTACATTTCAGCAGCAACAAATCAACACAAACACACAAAAATTCAATAAGGATAGTTGCTCTTTGGATTTCTATAACAAAACTGAACCCAAGAACGGCTTCTTCATTTTTTTATTTCTCCACACTTTCTTACTTTCTCTCCTCCGCTTTTCCTCTGGTTTTTCCGCCATAAAAGGCCGGGCGTAATATGATAATCAAACTGAGTGCCAAAAACAGGACCTTGTCCAGGGGCGGGGTTCCTGGGAACCTGAGCCCTTGGCAACCGCAGCCTTCTCAATGAGTTTTTGGCCATTTAAAACAATTTTATTTGATTTTGGGCAGAACAAGGAGACCTGACCAAAAAGAGAAAAAAACAAAACAAACGAAAGCAAAAAGTGCTGCCATAAATGACTCTATTAAATGACGATTAGACCAGGGTCGACGCAGGAATACACTTTAAAAAACAGTCAATTCAATTATATAAATTAAACCTAGTTGGAATTATTTAAAGGGATTTAATCTTAAACTCCAATATATTTAAAGATCTTATCTTTATATTTAAGAACTCAACAAGTGTCTACTTTTGATCCAACCTCTCTCCTAGAGTAATATTTATACCCTTTTAAAATGTAAAACAACAAACTTTGCCTTGCTGAAACTCAGCTTTTCGGGTTTCTGTTTGTTTTTAATAAAAATCTGTTTATTATTTTGCACAATTCCATTGAAAACTTGGCCCCTCTGCAATTGCAAACTTTTGCAGCCTTCGGGAAACATTTTGAAACTGTTGTTGGCCTCGAGTGTGCCTGCCGGTGGTGCTCCACCCATTTGCTCGATTTGATTAATAACCTCGATATTATCCTGGCACTATATATATATTATAACATATGCCAGCGTCTAGAATATTATATATATTTATGTTCGAGGGACACAATCTCCTTTGATTAGGCGGGGAGTTTCCTAGGCAGCTATGATAAATGTATATATAGAAATTCTATATTGACATTGATAATTGGTTTGAAGGATTCTCAGAAAAGGGGAAAACTAATTATGAAAGCGATTGTCCCTAGTTAATAATATATATATTCCCTAGAATTCCCTGATATATTGAGACTAATAATAATGGCATTTTTTTGTGTAAGATAATTAATGATGAACCATTAGACGGCCACGTTTCTGTTGACTTGTAAAAGGTTGATCCTTGTTGGCTGTGTTGCAACACCAAGTATCCTTTTTTTTTTTGGCCAGCTGATAAGCAAAAGCCTTGAATTTATTTACGCGCCAAACGGGAAATGCCGGCCATCACAAGGCGCACACACAATGGAAAGAAAAGCGGAAAAGCGCAAGTACATATGCGAGAGCGAGCCTGGCAAATGTCAGAATTTAACTAGCGGGGGCGGGAAATTTTTCGTTTTTTTTTACTTTAATTACTTTCAGTTGGCACACGGAAACGCACTCGAAAAAAATTAACGAAAACGTAGATAGCATACAGAGCAGATTATGGAAACACAATGATTTGCTGCAGCTTTTGTGTGCGAGGAAACGAACGGATAAGATGGATAAAACGGCTAAAAAGCACTCAAGTCGCCCGTCGCGGACACTGTTTTTCGCATGTCAACACGCGCCAAAATGTTGCTAGCGACTGAGCTGTGGCAAGCACTACTCGGATTTTCAATTTCCCAGCATTTCCCACACTGCCCCGTCCCGCCCCGCCCCGCCCCACCGAGGGTTCATTGAGGAAATCGCCAGTCAGCTGGGGCGGAGCAAAACAAAATCAGATGTCCATATTCGCCCCAAAATCCTGCACGAAGCTACACAGCTGATGCTGTGCGCGAACTTTTGAGTCCTTTGCAGGAGCTTTTCTTTTGGGATAGAAGGACGCATGCGCAGCATCTGCAAAAGCTTTCGACTCTCTCACCTGTTGCTTGCTGTGGCAGTTGTTCAGACTAAAGGATACCTTAGCCAGCCCAGTCAAAAGTGTTGCCTACTTATCAGGGCAAGGCAGAGTTATGAATACTTCACTTTGTGAACCTTGTGTTGCTATTGCTATGTATTTATATTTATAAATTTATATAAATATAGTAAATATATAATTAAAATAATATAATAAAAAACTATATAGTTTAATAAATACAGAGCCTTTTGCAGTTTTTCATTGTATTAATTGAAAAGTAGCATACTCCCTTTTACTTCCTCAGCTTTAATGAATATTTTGCAGACAAACTTTTTCAGAAAAAGCTTTCCCTAACCTTACCCAGTCAACATAGATTTGGACAAAAGAATCTCTGAAACTCGAGTGAATTTTGAAAATTTCCGAATATGTAATATTATATTTACAAATTATAATTGTTATAATTCCATTAAAATCATTAAGAATTTATCTATTTTGGAAGAATATATATATAGAGTATTAATTAATATTTTATAACAACATATATTTGAAGAAATTTCAAAACCATTATTTTAAAAATGTATAAAATAATTATTAATAATTATATATTACGAAATATATCTAACGTTTGGAAACCGTAAGGTCTTCGTATACCAACAAGAAAACCTAAAATTTATGTAATCTAAAGACATGAAGTCCTAATTTTTATATGCTAATTTTTTTTGGAAAAATCAACGTTTTTGAAATATCATAACTAAGCCAAACATTGATTAATTTTAATTCGGAAAGCATTTCTGTGCTAGTTTTTATCAGGTAAAAAAATCACCATAATCAATAATAAATTTTAAAATTTGTCATTTATGGTGAATTTTTAAAAATTTTCTTCCTTTCCTTTTTCCAAAAACTGGGAAATTTCTGAAGAAAAAATTGTTCAACCGGAGATGGCTTTAAAGATTCGCCTGTTAATGCTGATCAAGAATATATATAATTTATAGGGTCGGAAACGATTCTTTCACTTAGTTTCAAGCTCCTGACTAAATTTTAGAACCATTCTTTGAGTCCATATTTATCTATATTTGTAGATTATTTCACTTAGTTTTAAGCTTCCGAATGAAACTATAATACCTTGCAATAGTATAATAAACTACAAACAAGTGCGTAGAATATTGTTTTGAAACATAATGGTTTAAGTATTTAATATATTCACCGAGAAGGCTATATAAATTCATATGTTAATATATATTTGATTAAGCAGAAACAGAAAACCTTTCCAAGAATAAATACACATCATAAAATTGGTGCACAGACCATTTATGGTGTAATCTAATCAAGAGATATGCCCCAATTCCAGGATATGGTAAATTGAATAATGACCACAGCGTATGCACAGCAAACAGCAAAACACAAATTGAATTATCCGCCAGACATGGACCATGTCTGCGTCCTACTATTTACCATAATTAATTAGGTTTGCAACCATGTCCAGGAAAGTCACCCAAAGCAACCCAAAGTCAGAGCAATCTAATTTGAGGGCCCAAACTTTGAACTGTAATTAATATGCCTGGGACTGGACAAGTCCAAAGAGATGACAACCTATACCGGAGGACACCTGAGGACCACTGAGGACACCCGAAGGGCTGGGGACATGTGTTAAGTGAGCACTCACCTCGATGGTGATGTGATGGCCGCGGGAGCGGAAATTGTCATCGTTGCTCCTTAGATTCTTCGAGTCGATTTGCACATTCGTCTGCATCTTTGAGAGTCCGGCACCTGGAACGACAGCCGGAGATAGATAAACATTTATGGAATGCCTTTCGGTCATATATAGACTTACACATTCATATATGAAATATGCCCAGGACCTGCTCCTGGCATTTCCCAAAAGAAAAAAAAACAGGAAAAAAACACTTCAACTTCGACTTCGACTTCTACTTCCACTTCGACCCAATGATGCGTGCTTCCGATAAAGATGCCAAAAAAAGAGCATGAAATGCCCATGAAATGGCCCTATAAACATGCCAGTCATAAAGAGCCTACGAACTTGGGGAAATTCTGCCAAAAAGGCCGACCATATAGGCAAACGGCATCCATTTATTAAAAAAGCTACGATTTAGGATCAAAGTGTATGCCATTAGCAGAATGCGATTACAATATACACTATATACATAATAAATAAATGCTGTAGCTGTGTTTTCTCAAACTATTATCATTTGTTTAAATTAGAAGCATTTGTTAAATTGTATTAACTTATTAAACAACTTATTCTGTATAAAAGAAATACATTTAAAGAAAAATAACTATCGACTGGCAATACAATACTACAACTTAATGAAATAAAAAATAATATAAAAGGTGGCAATGGGAAAACACACTAGCTTTGAGCACCAATAAACAATGACTTGCAACTTTTGTAACACAACACATGCCTGAGACTTGGCTAGCAGCAGTCACTTCGTTCCGGGGACGTTAGAACTAGTTGGGAATCATATGCACAGATGTGTGAGATTTGTTTTGGAACAGTGAGCAAGCTATTTCAATGAAACTATGGAGTTATTCACCTATATAATGTTACTAGTATATAAATCGGAGCATGGCGAATCGGTTGACTATATATATACATATATATAGCTAACATAGGAACGATCAGACGATTTCTAGAAGTATGACCAGTAATTAACTCTGAACACTAAGTAACTATGATCAGTAATTAACTCTGAACATTAATTAACTATGATCAGTAATTAACTCTAAACCAGTAAGTAAATATGATCAGAAATTAACTCTAAACCAGTAAGTAAATATGATCAGCAATTAACTATGACCAGTAAGTAACTATGATCACTAAGTATCAATGAGCATTAAGTAACTCTGAGCAGTAATTATCTATGACCAGTAATTATGTATGATCAGTTACGAACTTTAAACACTTGTAAACAATGACTTGCAACTTTTGAAACACAACACATGCCTGAGACTTGGCTAGCAGCAGTCACTTCGTTCCGGGGAGGTTTGAACCAGTTGGGAATCATATGCACAGACGTGCGGGATTTGTTTTGGAACAGTGAGCAAGCTATTTCAATGAAACTATGGAGTTATTCACCTATATAATGTTACTAGTATATAAATCGGAGCATGGCGAATCGGTTGACTATATATATACATATATATAGCTAACATAGGAACGATCAGACGATTTCTAGAAGTATGACCAGTAATTAACTCTGAACACTAAGTAACTATGATCAGCAATTAACTCTAAACCAGTAAGTAAATATGATCAGCAATTAACTATGACCAGTAAGTAACTATGATCACTAAGTATCAATGAACATTAAGTAACTCTGAGCAGTAATTATCTATGACCAGTAATTATGTGTGATCAGTTACTAACTTTGAACACTTGTAAACAATGACTTGCAACTTTTGAAACACAACACATATCGGAGACGTGGCCGGTAGCAGTCGCTTCATTCCGGAGATGTTAGAACCAGTTGGGAATCATATGCACAGATGTGCGAGTTTTGTTTTGGAACAATGAACAAGCTATTTCAATGAAACTATGGAGTTATTCACCTATATAATGTTACTAGTATATAAATCGGAGCATGGCGAATCGGTCGACTATATATATACATATATATAGCCAACATAGGAACGATCAGACGATTTCTAGAAGTATGACCAGTAATTAACTCTGAACACTAAGTAACTATGATCAGTAATTAACTCTAAACATTAAGTAACTATGATCGGAAATTAACTCTAAACCAGTAAGTAAATATGATCAGCAATTAACTATGACCAGTAAGTAACTATGATCACTAAGTATCAATGAACATTAAGTAACTCTGAGCAGTAATTATCTATGACCAGTAATTATGTATGATCAGTTACTAACTTTGAACACTTGTAAACAATGACTTGCAACTTTTGAAACACAACACATATCTGAGACGTGGCCGGTAGCAGTCGCTTCGTTCCGGGGATGATAGAACCAGTTGGGAATCATATGCTCGGACGTGCGAGATTTGTTTTGGAACAATGAACAAGCTATTTCAATGAAACTATGGAGTTATTCACCTATATAATGTTACTAGTATATAAATCGGAGCATGGCGAATCGGTGGACTATATATATATACATATATATAGCTAACATAGGAACGATCAGACGATTTCTAAAAGTATGACCAGTAATTAACTCTGAACACTAAGTAACTATGATCAGTAATTAACTCTGAACATTAAGTAACTATGATCAGAAATTAACTCTAAACCAGTAAGTAAATATGATCAGCAATTAACTATGACCAGTAAGTAACTATGATCACTAAGTATCAATGAACATTAAGTAACTCTGAGCAGTAATTATCTATGACCAGTAATTATGTATGATCAGTTACTAACTTTGAACACTTGTAAACAATGACTTGCAACTTTTGAAACACAACACATATCTGAGACTTGGCTAGCAGCAGTCACTTCGTTCCGGGGATGTTTGAACCAGTTGGGAATTATATGCTCAGACGTGGGAGATTTGTTTTGGAATAAATTTAAGTACATTTAAATGAAGCTATGGAGAAATTCTTCTATATAATATTACTAGTATATAAATTGGTCCATGGCGAATCGGTGAACTATATATATACATATATATAGCTGACATAGAAACAGTCGGACGACTTATAGACGTATGACCAGTAATTAAGTCTGAACATTAAGTAACTATAATAAGTAATTAACTCTGAACAGCAATAACTATGACCAGTAAGTAACTCTGAACAGTAAGTATCTATGACCAGTAAGTAACTATGATCACTAAGTATCAATGAACATTAAGTAACTCTGAGCAGTAATTATCTATGACCATTAATTATGTATGATCAGTTACCAACTTTGAACACTTGTAAACAATGACTTGCAACTTTTGAAACACAACACATATCTGAGACGTGGCCGGTAGCAGTCGCTTCGTTCCGGGGATGTTAGAACCAGTTGGGAATCATATGCTCAGACGTACGAGATTTGTTTTGGAACAAATTTAAGAGCAAGCTATTTGAATGAAACTATGGAGTTATTCGTTTAAATAATTTTACTACTATATAAGTTGGAGGATGGCGAATCGGTGGACTATATATATATATATATACAGCTAACATAGAAACGATCGGACGATTTCTAGAAGTATGACCAGTAATTAACTCTGAACACTAAGTAACTATGATCAGTAATTAACTCTAAACATGAAGTAACTATGATCAGTAAATAACTCTGAACAGTATCTATGACCAGTTACTTACTATGATCAGTAAGTATCAATGAACATTAAGTAACTCTCAGCAGTAAGTATCTATGACTAGTAATTATGTATGATCAGTTACTAACTTTGAACACTAATAAACAATGACTTGCAACTTTTGAAACACAACACATATCTGAGACGTGGCCGGTAGCAGGCACTTCGTTCCGGGGAGGTTAGAACCAGTTGAGAATCATATGCTCAGACGTGTGAGATTTGTTTTGGAACAATGAGCAAGCTATATCAATGAAACTATGAAGTTATTATTCTATATAATTTTACTAGTATATAAATCGGAGCATGGCGAATCGGTGGACTATATATATACATATATATAGCTAACATAGGAACAATCGGACGATTTCTAGAAGAATGACCAGAAATTAACTCTGAACACTAAGTAACTAAGATAAGTAATTAACTATGACCATTAATTAACTATGAGCATTAAGTATCTATGATCAGTAATTAACTCTGAACAGTAAGTATCTCTGAACACTAAGTAACTCTGATCAGTAAGTATCAATGAACATTAAGTAACTATGATCAGTTACTAACTTTGAACACTAATAAACAATGACTTGCAACTTTTGAAACACAACACATATCTGAGACGTTGCCGGCAGCAGTCACTTCGTTCCGGGGAGGTTAGAACTAGTTGGGAATCATATGCACAGATGTGCGAGTTTTGTTTTGGAACAATGAACAAGCTATTTCAATGAAACTATGGAGTTATTCACCTATATAATGTTACTAGTATATAAATCGGAGCATGGCGAATCGGTCGACTATATATATACATAATTATAGCCAACATAGGAACGATCAGACGATTTCTAGAAGTATGACCAGTAATTAACTCTGAACACTAAGTAACTATGATCAGTAATTAACTCTAAACATTAAGTAACTATGATCGGAAATTAACTCTAAACCAGTAAGTAAATATGATCAGCAATTAACTATGACCAGTAAGTAACTATGATCACTAAGTATCAATGAACATTAAGTAACTCTGAGCAGTAATTATCTATGACCAGTAATTATGTATGATCAGTTACTAACTTTGAACACTTGTAAACAATGACTTGCAACTTTTGAAACACAACACATATCTGAGACGTGGCCGGTAGCAGTCGCTTCGTTCCGGGGATGATAGAACCAGTTGGGAATCATATGCTCGGACGTGCGAGATTTGTTTTGGAACAATGAACAAGCTATTTCAATGAAACTATGGAGTTATTCACCTATATAATGTTACTAGTATATAAATCGGAGCATGGCGAATCGGTGGACTATATATATATACATATATATAGCTAACATAGGAACGATCAGACGATTTCTAAAAGTATGACCAGTAATTAACTCTGAACACTAAGTAACTATGATCAGTAATTAACTCTGAACATTAAGTAACTATGATCAGAAATTAACTCTAAACCAGTAAGTAAATATGATCAGCAATTAA